CGGTAAACGCTTATTCTGATTAGATTTTAGTGGAATTAATTCATCGAATGTGCCTATTTACTCATTTTGTAAACAATAATAACGCAAACTTAAAGTGTTATTGGAAACACATGACATTCTCTTCCATATAAATGAATCAGACTTTGAAAACTCATAAATTTATCTTAGTTTTTTAAAAAAATTATCTTTAATATAATCAATTATTTAATTAATTTTTTTTATTAAAAACGAGTAGTTTATTCTCTTTAGTTTTCTACACACACACACACATATATATATATATATATATATATATGTATATGTAGCCATAATTTCATTTAAGAAGTTGTAAGTATTTGAGAAATAGAAAAGTGACTTAACATTTCATTTGGTCAAGATTTACGTTCTTGACTGTGAAACACCAAAAAATTCCTTACATGACATGCGAAAGATAGATGTGTAGTTTAATAAGTTTTACAAATAGATGACAAAACAAATGCAGGGCCAACCTGGCCACGTGCAGCTCGTGCGGCCGCATAGGGCATCAAAGCCTAAAGGGGCATCAAATTGTCATTTGTTACTAGTTTTGAGTTTAACAATTTGAGAATTGGACAACTGAACTTTTGACGATAAAAATAGGCCAAAGGCCTAGTAGTAATGAATACTTAATGCACATCGTTGGAAAAAGTTGGAAAGTTGGAAAAGTTTTTGTTTGTATAAAGTTGTCTGTGTGAATTAATCTGTTTGTATAAGTTGGAAGAGTTTTTGTTTCGGAGAGTTTTTTTAGTTGGAAGGGACATGTTTGGAAAAAAAAATTGGCTTTCTATATAAAGCTCCCCCTAGAAGCTTATTGGATAAGTTACTTTATGTATTATTAAGCCACTACGAAACAGTCATACATAATTGAGTGAATAAGTTGTTAGTTTCATTAAACTTATTAAAGCTGCTAATAGATAATCATTTAGTCTTTAGTCGTTAGACCTGTAAATTTTAAGTTTTACAATTTGCTTACTATAATAAAAGTTTGGATGTAATTTACTATTTTAGTTAAAAACTAATTATAGTTTTCCTTGTTTTTAAAATTTCATATATTGAAATAAAGTTTCTATTTTGCTAATTTCAATTTTGGAAAAGGAAAAACTGGAAAAGAAGGAAACACGATCTTAATCCATGATTTATCATTTTATATTTTGTATCTGGGGTTTTGGTTTTTATGTCCTACATCGTATTTTTTTAATTATAATTAATAAAATTCAACATCGGGATGAGATATTTAGCTTGAATAGGTTCTAAACTCTTTAAAAAATCGCATGTTTCGTTGTTTCATTGGCTTAAAAAATAGGATTAGGGACATTTTTTTATTATTTTCGCATAGGACATCAAAAATCTTAGGACCGTCCCTGAACAAATGCATATATGAACTCGCATATATGAACTCATATGATTCACATATGAACTATATATATTCATAGGTGAACTCGTGTAATTTACATATGAATTAATTAATTGATTTACATATGCACCTTGAGTTCACATATACACTTGTTTGTCGTCTATTTATAAAAGTTGTGAAATTACCCCTCTATTTTTTGTTTGATCAGTCAAAGCCATAATTCTTAACCAATTTTAACCGTGTGAAAAACTAAGATCACATTTTTATTTCTCAAATACTTAATACTTCTCATGAACCTCTCCTATATATATATATATAGAGAGAGAGAGAGAGAGAGAAAGAGAGAAAGAGAAAGTTTATTTTAAATACAATCTATCACATTTGTACAACCAATGCAACCTAATAAATTAAAATATTTATGAAAATGATGAGAGTTCATTTATTATGATTTAAATATTTATGGAAGATGAATAAAGTTCATCAATTATGATCAATACTTTATATTAGAAAACAATCAAAAATTTTCTATGAAATTACATATTCATCAAATAAATGGATGGTTGAGATTGAGTTGTATTAATTATACAAATGTAAATGTGAATTTCACTACATTACACAACATACATATATATGATACATAAAAATACACGTTGCCAACACCTTTTGAATATCGTGAATTTAAGAGAAGGTTTCAGTGAAAGCAGGGTTGTTGGGGAAGTCAAATGATGCCAAGTTCATCGACTTAAAAATATTTATTGATAGATATTAAATATTATAAAACCATTTTAATTAAAAAATTATTTATTTAAAAAAAAACAGGTTTGAATAGGCAACCACCTTTACACGTGTCCCCTTTCAATTCACGCACATGTATTCTTATTTTGTTACAATACAACTACCCACTGATCCCGGCTGCATCGTGATCAACTTTCCACCGCCTACATCCAATCCCACCCTCCATTTCCCCTTTCCCCCCCTCCACTATTCCACTTTCTTCACTTTTACCACCTAATGTTTCAAAATTTGATACTTTTTACCCTTATGTTTGTTTTTTTTCTCAATTTCCCCCCTTCTTTGGGAAAAAGCTTGATGATTGTTTTATTTCAAAAGTTGACACTTTGCACCCTTAGGTTTGATTTGTCTAAAACCATTATACCTTTTATTTTTTACACATATTTTTAAATTGTTTTATTTGGCAATAAGTAAGTTTCTAGATGGCTTGAATTGTGATGTGATGTCAAAGTCAAGTCTAAGTTTTAAGAGTCATGACGAGCCCATGATGTTTTTCACTGCGTGACTTATGACAACAAATTTGTATATCATATTTTCTACTATTACTCAGTTAGTCAAAGATAATGAACAATTTAAAATAGGTTATATAATAAAACTAAAAAGTAAGACTTACCATGGCACCGTATCGAGCCTTTTAGAATACTGGTTTTAGGTTAACTTAATATTTTTTATAGTATGATAACATATGGACCACACTTGCAGTCTTTTATATGATTGTAATACAATTAGGCCTTATTCCTTATGAATAAACCTACATGCTAGTTGTCTAATTTGATTTCCGTTGGCTCAAAGATATGTCAAATCTCATCACAAAACAGCATTAACACTGATTTTGAATTTCTCAGTTTTTGAAAAAAAGAAGAAAAAAAACAATATTTTATCAGATGTCTGTTTATTACTGGCAAATATTTGAACACAGACTTATTCCTAAGTCTGTATAAACTTGATGGTTTTATGAAAATCAAAGTCATCAAGCACTATGATTCCAGTTGTATGTCATTTTGGCAGTGTTTTTTTATAGTTATATAATCGAAATTGGGAAATATATCAAAAATAGAAATTTTGCCTTTAATAAATACAACCACTCAATGTAAAGAAGACTGTGGGTTTGAAAGTTAGCCATTTGCTTGACCAAAAAAATGGACTTTTTGGGGATTTGTTCCATACCCATAGGGGTAATATGGCCAACCCAAATAAGTTAGAAGGCCATAGTGTAACTTTCTATTTTTACCCTTTATTTAACTTTCTAATTAATTTAGAGTTTTTCTTGTTTTTTTTAATCATGTAGTATTTATATACGATAAATAGAATAAATAAACTTATATATTTTCTGTATTTTTGGTGAGATTTGAATCTTTGACCTATAAGAAGACTAAAGGCTCACATACTCTAGTCTTTTACTATTTGGTAGAGTTTTTCTTGTTGATAGAATGTTTTTGGGAGATTTTGATTTTGTGGTTAAAGTCTTTGATTTGTATGGTCTAAAATGAAGTTTAATTATCTATGAAAATTTGTTCGTTGTTTAGAAACGATAGAGAGATTATAACAGATTTGATGAAAGAGACGGGATACAAATATGATATGATGGAAACAATTGAAATACATTAGATTTGAATTTGAAATGACATAATCTCTTAACGATTTTAAATCCATTGGTTGTAAGATCTAAAATCCAAACTTTTCGTTAAACCAAACACATGATTGTAATGAAATTCGATCCCTATCCTACCAAATAAGTAGTTTACAGTTTTTTTGAAACCGAAAATTTGTGTGGTTTATATAACCACACACTTTCCAGATATCTTGTGAAATTCTTCTTGCATATTAAAACAAATATCTATTTTTAACAGTAAGCATTTAAAATAAGATGATTAATTAACACTGTAAAATTATTACATTTTTAAAAGCAAAATTACTATTTAATTAATTAAAAATATAATAATTACCTATTTTTTTAATTTTTAAACAATTATCGAACGAAAGATATTATTTTTATATATAAAAATTTGTGGAATATTCGTTAAAATTAGATTTGTGGAAAATAATATTTGAAAAGAGAAAAAAGAAAAAGAAAAATAAATGTAAAAAGGGAGCATTTAGGCGAGGGTGAGGGTGTCGAAATCAAGTATAGTCCCCGACGCGTAACCCCAACGCCAGCTGTAAGGTCATGGATTTGATCTCGTGTCAAGTGGGCCACTTCTACTTCCGATGGGCCCCACCTCACCCCCTCTAAAATTCAATCACTTCATATTTAGTCCAAATATTTCCTTTTTTCTTTATATATCACTATTTTAGTCGGTACTTTCACTTACTTATCGGGTAAAATTTTAGTATGTAACAATGGTGTATATATGCATATAGGGTTGGGTTGGGTTCATGTAAGACAAGGATGTTTTCGTGAGACAACTTTTTTACACTTGAAACTTCATAACAAAATGTTGAGAAGGTAAAAAGAAGTCGAACATTCACAACAAAAATACTGTGAAGATTACTTTCACAACGTTTTGCTGTGAAGTTTCAAGTGTAAAAAAGTTGTCTCACATGTCTTACGAAAACAGTCTTGTTTCACATGATCCAAAGTCTTTCTCTCTATATAACTTTAGACCGTTTCTATATGATTTTTTAGTGTGTGCATATGTATATGTTTATTAAAACACACATTGGGTCTTAAAAGAAACAGTTTTTAAAAAGGTGGACTGATTTTGTAACATTCGTAATTTATAGGGACCAATATTTCCATTTCATAATCTTACAAAACTCATCCTTATAAGCCTGTAACTCGTACATCTTACACTCCTCCATCATCATTCTCTCTCTCTATCTCTCTCTCTCTCGTATGCTTCTTTGGTGCTTCTGAATTTCTGAAGAAGACACACACCGTCTTTATGTGTTACGGTGTGTAATTTTTCTTGGCAACTGCACCAACAACACCATCATCGTCTTCTGCTGATAATTACGTCTTGAAACAAGTCGAATCTGGAGAAAGACGGTCGTATGTTTATGTAATTGATGGCGAAAAGTGGGGTGTTTGAAGGGGATCAGAGCGTGGCGGTGGCGAGGGCGACGACGGAGTTGAAGAAGGAATTACAGAGACTTGTTAAAGCGATCATTGAAGATTCGTCGTCAGAGGAAGAACCAAATGGATTTGGATTTATTGAGAGAGCCAATCAGACTTTGCAAGCTTTGAAGGAGTTGAAAGAAGGAGGGAAACAACGATCTATCAAGAGAATCAATAATAATAACAATGAAAGTTCCACGTCACTTTGGGCTTCTTGCCCTCAGGAATTTCGTTGCCCTCTCTCTAAAGAACTCATGAGAGATCCTGTTATCCTCTCTACTGGTCAGGTACTTCTTTTATTTCAATTTCTCTCATCAACTGTTTTTTCAGTATTCCTTATTATTACTCCAATTTTTGTATAAAAATTTACTAGTTCTTCTCGTTGACGTGTTGATTGTCGTGTATTGTACCATAATATCTTGACTACATTGAAATTGGACTAAATTTCAATAGTTATTATGTTGAAGAATCAGAACTAGGGTTTCTCCCTATCAATTTTCAATTTTGTTTATATGATTCAGCCAATTGGTTTAGGGATTGATTAGGATGTGTTTGATGTTCAATATTGTGGATTTATCTCTGTTTGCTTACTGGTTTCAATCTTCGGAATTATGATTATTTTGCTGATAATTTGCAGACATATGATAGGCCATTTATCCAAAAATGGTTAAAAGCTGGGAACAGGATATGCCCTCGGACTCAACAAGTTCTTTCACACACCATTCTAACACCAAATTACTTGGTTAGAGATATGATATCACAATGGTGCAAGAATCGTGGTGTCCAATTTCCTGGCCCTCTTCAGTATGCAGATGAAGATGGATTAACAGAAGCCGATCGCGATCTTTTCCTATCTCTTCTCAAGAAAATGTCATCCACCCAGTCTGAACAGAAGGAAGCGGCTAGGACTTTGCGGTCATTGACGAAGAGAATGCCTTCTTTTCGGGCATTATTTGGCGAATCTCTTGACGCCATCCCTCAATTGCTAACCCCATTTTGCCAAAGCAAGTCTCAGAACGAAATCCACCCTGATCTTCAAGAAGATCTGATCACCACCCTTTTGAATCTTTCTATTCATGATAATAACAAGAAGCTTGTTGCAGAGACACCAATGGTTGTACCTCTGCTGCTGGATGCTTTGAGATTTGGGACAATTGAGACCAAAAGCAATTCCGCTGCTACCCTTTTCACCTTATCGGCCCTTGACTCCAATAAATCCCTAATCGGAAAAGCCGGTGCTTTGAAACCCCTCATTGATCTTCTGGAAGAGGGACATCCATTGGCAATGAAGGATGTTGCTTCTGCTATCTTTAATCTGTGTATCATCCATGAAAATAAAGCTAGAGCTGTGAGGGATGGTGCTGTGAGAGCACTATTGAATAAAATCAAAAACCGGGTTCATGTGGACGAGTTATTGGCTATCCTTGCCATGCTTTCAAGCAACCAAAAAGCTGTTGAAGAAATGGGAGATCTTGGAGCTGTTTCTTGCTTGCTTTCTTTAATAAAGGAAACAAATTGTGCCCGAAACAAGGAGAATTGCATTGCTGTTCTATACACCATCTGTTACTATGATAGAACAAAATGGAAGGAGATGAGGGATGAAGAGAGTAGTTATGGCACACTCTCTCAAATCGCGCAAAATGGCACTTCAAGAGCCAAGCGAAAAGCCAATGGCATACTCGATAGGCTCAACAGAGCCATCAACCTTACCCACACCGCCTGAGTTCAATGGGTTCTCCCCAAAAAAAGACGTGTAAATTCCACATCTTCTATGTCATTACAAATCCGATAGCAGGGTTCATTCGCTTCATGTCAGGTTTGAATTATAGTTAACCTTGTTCCGTCTTTTAGACCTCAATTTTGTAAATTCTTGTCCCGTGCTTGAGATTATAGTCACTGTGAATAATTACTATATATCTATATCTATATTATTATTATTTATATTCTCTGTTTTTAATACTATTTCTAATAAATTCTGCACATGAAATGCCCTGTTGATGGTTTTAAATTATTCACTAACAATCAAGTCAACCAAGTTCATATTTGCTGTATTAGTTTTTGTCCATTAAGTCTGCACATGGTTATGGAGTGTAGGTAACTTGAACCTTACTTGATGAGGCATCACATGTTGTGTCTACATTCAAGAAAATGATTTTCTTGAATTATTATAAACTCCCAGTTGATATCCTTTTCCTTAGATGGTGGAGATGGATATTTGAACATGAGTTTGCTTCTTGATGTTTATTTGGGGCCATGACCCCATGGCCATGGAAGGAATAAAAACCCAAAATTGTTGGTTACCACTTGAAAATAATTGATGGATGAAAAGTGGGAATCAAAATAGGAAGAAGATGCCCATAATCAATGAGGAGGCCACTCTCTTTTGTGCTGGATGAATTTATCCATCCATTGAAGATGCCTCTCTTCCTTTTTTGTGAAAGTCTTGATTGACAACAGTTAGTAACCCCATGACCCTTTATCCTGTTTGGCATGGGTGTATGCATAGTTTTCATGCTTTCATTGGCTCCGTTGATGAATCTTTTCATCACCATAACCACTTGGCTCATGGGTTTCTGTTGATATCAGTAATTACTTGGTCATATCCAAAAAAAGAGGTGGTTAAAATTACATGGGGTCTGCGTTTGGTATGCAGGACAAAACAGTAGAAAAACTTGTTGTTTCGTATTTGGTGTGATATCATATTAGAACAAGACATGTCTTGAACAGGACAAAAATGCTTTTTTATTTCTTCCTAAAAACAGATGAAACATAAAGACATCAGAAAGATGTGAAAATATTCGTAAATGGTTAAAAGATATCGTTCTTGAAGGTGCTACCGCATCATTTTGTGAGTTGGAAAGACATTTATTTATTTATTTAATTGGAGAGGTCAGAGTCATGGCTTGCATTTTGAAGGGATGATGTTCCATGTAGGCAGTATGTTATTTTGTCAGAACCTGATTCCAGAGTGTGAGGGTATCATCTACAGTAATCCATATCCAGTCCACACAATTCCCCCTTTCCATGGAATAAATATTTATTCTGGATCAAATAAATAATAAATATTACATTCTTATTTATATTAAAATCAGGTTAAATTATATATTTAAAATGTAAAAAAAAAATCTTGATATTAATATATATAAAAAGGAAATTAGTATGTATGTATATTTAAAAATATATAAGAGATGTATTTAGCCTATCTCATAAATAAATGTTTGATACTTGATACAGATTGTTTAAAAAAATTCAGTTCAAAATTAAAAAAAAAACTACATTCAATTACAATATGTTTTTTTATTTCGAAGATTATAACATTGATTATATTATTAAAATATTCTATACATTTAATAAAATATTATTTCTATCCCATAAACATATAATTTTAAACTAAAAGGTCTTTGACCTCCAAGGAAGTCAGGGGTTCAAAACTCATTAAATGTGAGATAAGTGTATGAGTTTATTTATTTTATTTATCGTATATAAATTTTATATACTTGAAAAAGGAAACATATAATTTCAAAGTTTTTCTTACTAGTAGAAATATAATAAAAAATTTATTTTCCTTTCATGGTAATCAATTTTGGAGAATTATCAAAATTTGAAAAAAATTATACTTTTTCTCCTACTTTTGTTGGAGCAAAAAACATTGATTAAAATCCCTTAAATCTTCATTTTGATAATCTGTTGAAAATGCTTTCAAGATCAGACAATTTTTACATATTAAATTCATGATTTAATATGTGTATATATATATATATATATATATATATATATATATATATATAAGTTAATAGGTGTAAAAGTGGTTAATTTAGGAATGGTTATTGTTTGCTCGAATGAGTAAAAAAAGATGTGATGTGGCATAGAAATAGATATAGAAATAGAAGCATCTTTTCATCAAATAAATAAAATTGTGGTCCAAATCTCATGACTCATAATGGAATTGGATGGATCAAAGCATTGACACAAAACAAAGTTAAAGCTTAACTTCCATTTTTACTTTTCTTTTTCCCATCATTTTTTTTCCCATTAATTTATCAAATTATGTAGCTAAAAGAAACCTTGACCACTAATTAAATATCTCAAATCTCATTTATTATTATTACTAAGGGTATATTTGGTATAAAAAAAGATTAGATGAGCAAAAGTGAGGTATTCAAGTAAAAAAGTTGTGAAAGGTTAATTGACAAATTTATCCCAATCTCAATTTTTGTTTCATCTAATTTTGATGGAACAAAAAAAAATCAATTTTTATGCCACTTAGAATATATCTAATGCAAGGTTCTGATAAGCAAAATATGAAATGGTTTGCAAGAACTATCGTTGTGAAGAGTTTTTTTAAGAACCTAACCCCCCTTTTGAGTTCTCATACAATAACGTTGCTTCTTACCACGAAATTTCTAGTTTTTTCATATATTTTATTGACTTTATAATTATTAATATTATACTTATAATAGTTATTGATGTTGAAAAAAAATACACGGGACCTACAAAAAGAAGGTTTTTATAAGAAGTACCATTTTATGTGAGTTGTTTGATGAGTTAGAAGTGAGGTAACAACAAAAAGTGTAAAAATGTTCTTATAAGAACCTTCATCGTAGATGCTCTTAGAACTTGTGTTGGGATCTCAATTAAATGTGGCGTTTGAACAACAAGTACTGATACAAGTTCTTCCCTTCTGAATCAGATAGGGAAAGTCGTGGAAACAACAGACTCGACAGTCAGGCACACCGTGAGGCTGACTACAGCAGACCAAGAGGCTTTTGTAGGATCTTGCTTACTATACCTGATACTGATACTGTAGTTTTTATGTTGTCCTATCATGTCTCATCTCGTCTCATCCCTTCTTGATTAGAACTTCATCAAAATAAAACAAATAATATCTACTTAAAAAAGATATGTAAACAAATAAAAGTTTAATATTTACTTACTTTGATTTGATTTGATGATGAAGATTCTTTGTTGGATATTTGTGGGTGGATTTATCTCCAATGCAAGAGAGGTGTCATTAACTCTTTGATTGCCAACAAATGATGTATCCACTTGGTATTTTTAATTTTAACCCATGCATCACACTTCTTGTTACTTAGTGCATATGCTTTTAATATCCCATCTCAAAATCAGATATTTCACTTGGACCAAATTAAATTATTTCATTTCATAATAATAAAAATGTTGTTTTTATGACAATGACCAAGAATCTTACTTGATAAAAGACATAGTAAAGACCGAGAATCTTATCTGGTAAGTAAGGGAAAAGACCCTTACTCAGTTAACGTTTACCGTTTAAGAGACACTCATCAACAATCCATTTGATGATCGAGAATGTATCGTGAATAAGATAAGCTAAATAACAACAGTCACTATTGCCGATAAGTACTTACCTGGCAACCGTTTGATAAACAACCTTCGCTCCATGAGTGATTAGTGCTCATCTCGACCACGCATCTTACCCGGCTAATGTTTACCCAATTTGCATTTGTAAACCACCTCCTAAATGACAGTTAAAGTTCAATATATCAATCAAATTCCTACCCACAAATTTGTACAAGAAAACAATGAAAAGATTGGAACCAACAACCAGCACTCATTTTGTTCAGTTAAAGTGTGTTTTTTGTTGAGCATAATAACATCAAGTCACAAATGGGTGGGTGAGAGGGACATATGATGCAATACTCTATAACCATTGGGCATATAAATCCAAGAGAAGGTGATGGGATTATTACTAAGACTGGCAAATACAAACAAAACTGTAAAATGAGAGTGGATATGTTTCATCTTATTTGTGTAAATGGCATAAAACAGCAGCAGCATCTCTGGGAATACTCAAAAATCTAAAACCAAAACACCCAAATATGTCAGAAACCACTGCTGATTACTTGGGAATGGAATAGTGGATATTATCAAGAATCTACATTGGTTTATGGTACCAAAAGATTAATCAATTCAAAAGTTTATATTCAACCCACTTCCCCAATAAATGACTATATCCAATAATATATGGTACACATTACAATATATTTAATGAACTTTTATACTGTATGAATTATGATGTGATTTACCAAAACACCAATAACAATTTGTGATGATATGGTGCAATTTTAGGGAGCCTTTGGAAGAGGGGGTAAAAGTAAACTTTTTTTTTACTCGAAAGTAGAGTGGCTCAAGTGCAGAGTTGTCGCAAGGAATCTCTCTCTTTAAACATAATCAAGCTTGAAGAAAGGAATTAAGGGAAAAACTAGGCATTATCAAGGTGGGTATTTATGAGTTTTACTGAGACCCATACATGCTATATAAATGTATTTTATGCATTATGAAGAAACTTGATAAGATGTTTTGACATGTTTGCCTTACATGAAAATGTTGATGCATTTATATATTCAAGATATATGTATGATGGCATGTTATGATGTGTTTTACACATAATGCATGATAGTTTTATGCATGATTATAAATATCCAACGTACGGGATATAGAATGAAGGGACGTCTTGCAAAGAGACCTTATGGGGCAGCCTTTATGGACCTGAGGGGGTTAGCAAACCTCAAGGCAAGTATGGTATACTTGCATGTGACAAGTGAGATCTCAAAATAATGTTTTATGCATGGCAAGTGTTTTCTTGAATTGTTACTCAATTATTACAATAATTATTTATTCATGAAACCACAAATACTCACTAAGCTTAAAGCTTATGTATTCCATATATGTGTCTCGGGAAAGGAATAGGAACCTCATGAAGTAGTTACTCTTTTAACAGAATTCTGATGTATTATAAGATGTTGAAATAATAGGACCAAGATAGCATACTAGGTATGGAACTAGTAGCTTGCGTTGTTGGGCTGAAGGGAGTTTTTTATTTGAGTGGGTGGGGTAGAGGGCTCACAGTTTAGGCTAGAGATGTATTTTTGCCCCTATTTGCTCTTGATTTGTTTTGCCTTCCTCACTTCCCTTGCTTTTTTCTTTCTCATGCTTCGTTTACCATTTGTTAATCTTTATACCTTCTACCACCTTGCTCACACTTTTGCACAAGCCAAAGGTCTTCATAGAAACAACTGCTCTACTCTTTTTGGACATCTCATCCTCCCCAAGCCCTACTTTAGAGCGAGATTCATCGGGTTGGTATGGTTTGGTTTAACCTTCCTCAATCGACAATGCATACCATGTTTTTTAGAAAGATTATATAGACATCTTGCAGTAGCTACTTCCCATTTGTTTCCTATGCTACTTTTCTTATGTGTCTCCTTTATTTTTGTTTTACAAGCAAGGGGTCTTCACAAAAATAACCTCATTATCCTTTGGAATCAAAGCAAAGTCTACATTCATACCCCATAACCTACCTATGTGTGAGACACATTAGGTTCGTTTGGGTTGGTTTGCTCTAAGCTACTTCAATGTTTATTAGGATGTTTTCATGTTCTTTAAGCACCATGCTTTTTTTTTTAGAGTAGAACTCTGGTCTGCGTACATTAGACCCCACCTTCAAGTGGGACATATTGTGCTCATTTTGGTTTGGTTTGGTTCATAATCTATAAACATTATCCATAACATTGCATACTTCACCACAGAGATGACCAATGTAGAAAATTTACCAATATGGTAAGCATCATACTTTCAAAAGTCTCTGATCTTCCCTCCAGGTGCCTTTAAAAAGTATCTAGTTCTCTTCTGTAGCTGAAACATAAGACATGCCCTTTCAATCAGGGTAAATTTACATCCAATCATGCAAAAGAATAAATATAAATCCAAATTGGATAAGCGCTAACCGGGTAAGAGTGCAGTCTAGATAAACTTTGATCGAGAGTAAGAGAGCCTTTCCTTCCTTACCGAGTCGGTCATCATCATTTGTCGATCAAAGTGTATGGTAAACAACTTCACTTCTTACAAGACAAGCGTATTCAACCCAGTAAGTGGTCAGCAATTAGTAAAAAAACCTCTAAGTCATGACACACGTGATTAATAATAGCAAGTTTTGCTAATGAACCGTACAATCATGAAAGTAACTGTTTCGCAATTTTAGCATAGAAAAAGGACCGTCCAGAATCTACATGATGATACTGTACAAATTGGGGAGGTGGGCATTACAATTGGAACAGATTGATTGCACCAATATATAAAATACTCGTGCAAACGCAAAAGAAGGAAAAATGGATCTAAGAACAATAGATTATATCATAACAAATCGACACCATATATTTCAGTCCATCCTGTAAGCCCAACCATGTTTTTCCAAAAATGCTTGCACTGCTTCTTTCAATGCCAAGTTCTGGACCAACTGGGATGGATGAAGAGTTTCCCGCGTGATTGGATCGAACTTGCCCACCTGTTTGGTGGTTATCGAACACATATGTCAGAAAAACAAGATCCAAAGAATTACCAGCCAGTTCCACAAAGAGTTTTAATTGAGATCAGATTTTTGAATTCAAAATGAGCATGTTCTGCAACAAATTTAACAATTTCCAGTTTGTAATANCCCCAACAACCCCCATCCCACCAAAAAAAAAAGAAACAAAGTGTCCATGTTTCTATTTAGTTTGTCTCAAAACAAATGACCACTTTTTATTTTAGTTTGTCTCAAAATAACTGTCCACTTTCTAAGCTAAGTGCCTATTTTCCTATTCTACCCTTAATTATAAGCCGGATAAATTTATTAATCTTTTTATTAGCAAGGGTAAAATTGTCATTTAGTTAATTAAAAAGTATAATAATTATATAATTCTAAACCTGGGTGTTTTTTCACTGTTGACATTTATTTTGGAATGGAGGGAGTAATTTATATCATTCTTTAATGCCGTATTGTAGTTATGAAGTTTTTTCCTGAAAACTCAGAATCCACATCATGTTTGAAGTCAAAACATACCTCTTTTTTTTTGGAAAGAATGAGGTTATAACAAATAGCTTGATGTACATTCCAGAATACGATCAACAGAAAAGAAATACTGGTACTAAGATAAACCTTTTCGAGATGGTCGAGGATGACTGCCCTCTCATATGTAAAACCACTAGGAGCAATGACAGGATCACGGAAAATATCAAGTGTGATTTTGCAGCATAGGTAGTCCGGTATCTGAAATTACACAGGTTGAATAAAAACGTGTATTTTGTTACAATGAACTATAAGAACCCAAAAATAAAATATTTCACCTCCATTGGTGTGTCAACCTCCGCAACTTTGCTGAATACTAATTTCAGAGCTTCTAATTGTTCTGAAGTAGAATCTGTAACTTCATCAGTAAAGCCTTCCATTTGAGTGACATCGCACAAATGTTTTTCTTTAAGAGCTATCTCACAACTTTCTCTAAAGCACAAAGTGACAAATAACAATGAAAAAAAAAAGAAACAACATTCTCATGTAAACTAAAACACTTTCTAACATCCGATGCACACATACTTGGGGTGCGTTTGGTAAGCAGATGGGAGGGGAGTGAGGTAGACGGGTGAAAGAATTGTGAGTTTTTAGGGTTTTAATTTGACATGGGTAGTTTAGTAATTTACAAATTGTGTCCCCTTGTCCCAGATTTTTGTTCCGCCTATTTTGGTGGGACAAAAAAATAAGTCCCCTCCTGTCCTAGTCTAATGCTGATCAAACGTTGGACGATAGGTTTTTTTCTGTCCTATCCCAAGTATCAAACGCATAAAAGTACATACTTAAGGTTTTGCAAATCCCAGGATCGTTTGGTAGAATCATGCTCCCATTCCTGATACTTTGCTCTTGCTAGCTCCTGCCATATCTCCTCCACCATATAACTATTAGGGTTTGCTCCTCTTCCAAGATCCAAAGACTGCAGACAACGCAAATGGCTGTCAAACATAGATCATACATGTCTAACACATAAGTACCGTTATGGTTGATTGCTCCTCAGTTTACACTTTACACATGTTAATTCTACCAAAGGGTAGAGAAAACACTAACTCTTAAAATACTACAAGCAATGATGCAACACAGATTGTTGATGTGAAAACAAGTTGAGGGTCTTCATGAAAACAACTGATCTACTCTTTCGGGTAAAGGGGATACATCTTACCCTCCCTATACCCCACCCCAGGTGGGACGTAATGAGTCCGTTTGGTCTGGTTTGGTTTAAATAAATCACTGTCCCTTCAAGATAAATCGACGAAACGCAACTCTTCCGTTAGATATAGTCTTTATGAGTTTTCTTTTCTTGCCTTAGGATATTAGGTTTTCTTTATTTAGGTTACTTAAATATTGTATATAATGTAGTTACCTTTCTTGTTAATAAGATGAGAAACACAATCCCTGAAAACAACATGGTATCAAAGCCAAAGTCTGCCACTCTAGGGACTCAACATTTTGGCTAGCCCCCTCTTGACACCATGGGACAATTCGTGTCCATCTAGCCTTCGTTGGAGGGGGCGTGTTGGAGTCCTACATTGGCTAGACTTGGACCATTTCTCCGGTATATATGTTGGAACCTCCCCCTTTCTCCTCAAGGGCTCTTTTGGAGAGTGATCCGGGGTTCCACATATTCTCACATAAGCTAAACCACAGCCTCAACATCAAGATAGAGTAAACCTTTGCTAGAACTTGCAATCATGCTAGATTCATGCACTAGGCAATCATCAGAAAGAAAATATAACATACTCGCTTCGCTGTGGAAGGTAACAGCCGTTCTTTTAAAATTTAATCAACAAGACATTCAAAAGACAAATGGCAAGTAAATCTTACCCTTTCCAATGCTTTTATTCCTTCAGCATATTTTTCCCTTCGTATTAGTGCAAGCCCTAGCATATAATGACCCTACAGTTCCAAAAGCATTTCACCATGTTAACCATCCTATTCACGACCAGATATGGATGCAAGTCATAAAATAGTAAGTAAAGAAATCAACGTATCATTATATTATCAATAAACAAGCCGTTATATATTCAGAAGGAGAGAATATAAGCTAGCATGTATTTATACATATCGATAAAGAGAGAAGAAAAATAAGAACATAAGCTGCAAAAAAGGGAAAAGATGAAACATTTGACAGCTCTATGATGATCGTATGTTCCAGAAGACATCCTCCTCTAAAACAGCTGCTGCAAATACAGCACCAAAAGATAACACTAGTAGAAAGAGTATGCATGTTTGTATAGCAAGAAGGGTGCGCTGAGGACCATCAATGAACTTATGTTTTTCTTCCCTTCCATATAGAATCCCATGTTTAGTTTTAATATTTAATGGTACATTTTATCCGATTCTGGGAGAATAACGGGCGCCATAAAATCTAGAAAAATGAAACATTATATCATCGTCAATAATTCCTTATCTCATCAGTAAGCTGGTCTTCTCACTTATCTTCCTTTAAGTTGATGCATACATTCTAGATGAGACAATTTCTGAAAGCAACTTCAACTCCGAGTTTAATGCAGATTGTTTATAAACCACTTGTTATAGAAGATGGGGTTATTTAGCTAAATGACCTTCTGACAAGTGTTTTCTAAATCCATGACCTTCTGACAAGTTGCTAGGCATTCTTATGCATGGAGGTGGCATTCTTCTATTAAAGGCAATCTTAACCCTGTCAGCAGGTCATGGATTTAAAAACCTGTCAGCAGGTTATTTAACCAAAGGTGTAACACCCCCAAAGCCCAAAGCAACGGATTGGCCCAATAAATTTGAATCCAACTTAAAAACCATGGTGGACGTTATTGGTAGCACACTACTTGAGACTTGTAAGGAGCTAACAATTCTCACCTTCTATCCATGTGGGACGAGTTGTTACAAACTCCCCCACTTAAACTCCTGACGTCCTCGTCAGGCCTACCCAGAATCTTCCTCCTTGTCATCGGCAATGTGGGGTTCGCCTAAGATGTTACAAACACCTCCTCTCAAAGACTCATCATACCCGATGAGGTTTGCCTCACCATCCCGATGGTACAAGGATAGGTTCTAATACCATTTGTAACACCCCCAAAGCCCAAAGCAATGAACTGCCCCAATAACTTCGAATCCAACTTAAAACCGTGGTGAAAGTTATTGGTAGCCCACTACTTTAGACTTATAAGGAGCTAACGATTCTCACCTTTTATCCATGTGGAACAAGTTGTTACAAAAGGACCCCTTGTAAATGTCCGGGAGCCTAGACACACAGAGGTGGATGCACACTTGTCTACGACGCAAACTCATTTCTACCAAGGTGGTGCAAATTGATGAGAGACGTTAAAACAAAATTAATCACAAGCTTCCAAGACCAACGTCACATTCCAACCATCAAAGCTACCATTTTGCTAAACACCAATTAGAGCATAGCCTTACACATAATTGTTGAACTAGTAAAGGCATGGTCCTATGCCCAAATCCATCAAGACTTCTGAGTTGCAGTTCACATAGGCATGGCCCTACAGCCTGTACTAATTTTGGTGTGATCCTATGTCCAAAGCAGTCAATTTCAAAAATCATTTCCAATCTGTTTTATCACTGATGTTCTGATATAAAACAATGTGTTATCTTATATTTTAATAATTATGTCTTAGGGATGAAATGTGGGGTTTGGCCTTGAACATGTGATGAATATGTCATGCTCAATCTTACAAGATAATCTACAAAAAGTAACAGAGGATCAAGAAGAATATGGAGTTTTGGGTGGCGCCATCACCCAAGATGCTAAAAGACTATCAAGATCAACATAAGAAAGTTAAAGATGATGCTTAGTCCTTTAACAGAGATGAAGAAGTATCCTACAATATGCTTACAAGAAAATGAGAAGACAAATTCGTCCACCTCAAAGGTATGTATATACAGGTTGCTTAGGAGTATGATCTAGATATAAAGGAACCTTCCACATTTTTAGAAGTTGTGGGCTTGTGGAGATGTCTAAGCATTATCTGATGGTTGTTTTGTATATTTGTTTATTTTGTTGCTTTATGTGGATCACATATTCATTATGCTTAAAAGAGCAAAAGAGGCAACTTAGTGGTGAGAGTGAAATGAGAGACTTTGGTGCTACAAAAAAGATACTAGAAATGGAGATTCACAAGGTTAAATTAACGAAAAGTTGTACTAGGACCAAAAGAAAAATATGTGAACAATAAAGTAATTAAACATTTTAACATGTCATTGAACATGTCATTGGCATCTCACTTCAAGCTTTATCATGGCATGAGTGAAAAGAAAGACAAAGACATCTCAGGTGTTTTGTATTTGGCTACACATAATATGTTATAACCTGCACTCATTCAGATATTACGCACTTCTAGTGCAGTCTGACAGGCTTATGGACTATGGCCACCCCAAAAAAAGTTCTCTGACAAGCAATGAAATGGACACTTGGTTATCTAAAACATACCAAGGTACCACAAGTATCAGTCATGCTTACTGCTTTTATCGTAGCATCTGATTTACCTGGATCATGAGAGTTTCCTACATGGTACGTCTACACACGGCGAGTTGTGCAATGAGTTGGAGAGCAAAGTTGTTTTATTATTACCAAGGTAAAGTATATATCAAGGTGGCAATTTGGTTATAGCCTTATATAGGGTTTGTTCATGGTTTGTTCAATTGGTTATCTACTACTAAAGCAAAAAATAACAGGAAAGGTCTACGTACATCTCCACCACCCCCCATGGACCCTACTTTCGTATATAGTACTCGCTTCTCGTCCTCCTCACTGCTCGTACTCACTCCAAAAAATATCATCTTCTTAAGGTTAGTTAATGGCATTTACTTGACTTCTCCTCTACAGTTTGTTAATTTGTTATAGACTTATTTTCTCTTTTCTTACTTCTCTTCTCTATCAAACATTAGCTACAGATATATGATAACACCTAGAAACTCACACTTAGATTTCTCATAAAGTAGCAAAATGGTTTCACCAACTTAGGCAATGTAAAGGTTGCAATTAGGTCTTCATAATGACCGTGGTAGCCAACATTTTGGTTGATCAAGACCAACAAGTCCAAGATTGTCATATAAATGTGCTTCAAAAATGTGTTTTTTCATAATAGTTTTTTTGGCTTAGCCAAAGGATTTTTTTTATTCATAAACCACACACACATCTTTTATCAACCAAAGCCATGTTTCTATAGCTTAAATTGACATTTAGGCAAAAAAGGAATAAGCATGCTTTGTTACGCATCTTGTTTGCATTACATTTCTAGAGTTCTTTCATTTTGTACTTGCAAATATTTTGCCACTAGACCACTGTAATAACCACTATATCAAATCATGATCATGACCTTGATTCCGCTTTAGGACTGCAATATTTGCTTAGGTTTGAAGTTCCCATGGTAGCATCCTGCCCTACTTTGGGTTTCGAAATTTGGTTTCTCACTTATGGTTATATATTTAAAACTGCTTGTTGCCTTAAATAGAGAACCTAGAGAAAAAAAAACCAACCCTTGAGAAAATATCATTTGTTCTCTTTATTTTCACGGTGGATGACCCTCTCAAATCAAATTGTCATGGTCTTTCACCTCTTTTGAGAATTTGTACATGACAATCCTCTACTTTCATCTCCCGTTTTTAGAATTTTTGTATATTAATTCTACATTCCAATCTCTTCTATTTTCTTTTGTTATCTTTTGGGTGGTGTTAGCCATCAGTTAAACTTAACACTCTTGTAGGAGAGAAGACAGTTTAGTTATCAATGATTTGACCGACTTGTAATCAGAAAAAAGGTTAGTCCACGTGATCAAATTGGAACCTTTGACATACAATTTTCTGATGTAGTTAATCATATCAAAAGTTGCACCTAGTAAAGGGGATATGTAGGCTCAGATTTGCAGGATCAACTTCATTGAATGTATTTTACAGAATAAACAAAGAACATATGTTTTTTCCTGCCAGTTGCTTTCTTACATCCTTATCTAATTCCTCATTTATGGCAATGGTTTCTTTAAGCCATTTAAACAATGATTGCGTAACTACATACAAGAATTGCAATTCTTCAATCCTAAAAAATGTGAGATCTAACAGAAGGCAAGGATTTACCGCTAGAGAAAAAAAGGAAACAAGTGAATAGTGAATGCATGCAAAAGAGAATATTTGATGATCTAGACCTTGACGGAATTACGATCAAGCTGAACAGCCTTCTGGCAATCCTCCTCAACTCTTGCCCAATCACTACATAGAATCATCATAGGCAAATTACAAAACACAAAATCAAAACATTGTCCAAAGTTGACATCACAACCTAATACTCTCATCAGTTCCAAAAGATAAGGTGCAGTTTAACTTTTGATGTAAAAATAGTTATACTTCCAACAATTTAACTTCAAATTTGATAAAAACTCTAAAAACTCTTGAATTTTGGGTAATTACCTCTTTCTTAAGAGGTTGACTATTACCATTCGCAAAAAGATTAATGTTCTAAACTTAACATCCATTTCAATTTTGTAGTTGCAAGTTACTAGGCTTGACTGTTTTAACTCTATTTTCATCTTTTGGAACAATGGAACAAGAAACAAACCCTAATGACATAAAAAGCATAGCAACTCATACTTACTTCCGCTTGAGATGGCATAAAGCTCGATTGGTCCAGTAAATTGCAACACTAGGGCACAACGTAATTGCCTGAAAATTTTGAAACAGGAAGAGAAAAATCAAACCGAAGAGACATTTCATCAAACAGTTTATGATCATGACACTAATCTAACTCGATTAAGCGATTATATCTGAAACCCTTAAAAGAAATACCTCCGTATAAGCTTCGATGGCAGCACCCAATTTGTTCTTCTTGAAATAGAGGTTTCCATCAAGCTTAAGTTGTTCTGCTTGCATGGCTGCCGTGTTCACACCCTTCACCATCACCAATGTCTTCGCTATACAGAATTCTCTCCTCGTTTCTTTCTATAATCCACTTATCGCTCTCTCGATCTCTCGGTCTCTATTCGAAATCTTTTGGGTAAAGAAAAGGATTGTTTTGATGTGGGAGGAGGAGGAAGAAGGCCAAGAAAGCGTAGTAGGCACTAGGCAGTCGTACTGGGTGGTGGAGACTAAAAATACAGGTGACAGAATGGTTGTAGATGACAGACGGATATGATTGGTCTGTTATATACGCCGGAGCCTTCCTCCGCTGGAATAACATCGAGTGGTGTTGACTGAAAGGGGTCAACGACCGAAAGGAGGCAACCTACGATTATTACATGTAATTTCCAAGAAGTTTACAATAACAACCTTTTTTTTTTCTTTTTTTCTTTTTTTTTACTTGGATATCCAATCAGTTATACGAGTCGAATAATTTTAGTACGACCACCTACTTTGTAGATAGCCCAAAGTCATCATATTTGAATCTCCATGGCCATAAAGAGATTTTTATTCTTCTTTGGATTTAAATCTGAGACCTCCAAATACTTTTGACTTTTAATCAACCATCATAACAACCTCTTTTTTATAGCATATCTAATATATTTTTTAATTTAAAAAAATCCCTAAAAAATATTATATTTGTTTTTATGAATTCTTTATTTTAAAATTTATAATATTAAGATATTATTTTTTATACATTTAATTTCAAAAACTATTACCAACGATAATAATAAAATATTATTTTTCATTCATAATTAATCATTTTGAAAGAGTTCTTCTTATTTGGATATATTTTTCTTCTCACTCTTACTTTTTCCATTTTATAAAAGGTTTTGAATGATCTGTTGGAACAAAAATATCTATTTCTTCGTTTTGGAGAAGTTGTTGAAGATGTTTTTTTTGTCACATTATCATTTACAATTCATTAAATTAATAACCTATATATATATATATATATATATATATATATATAGACTTGGGATCATATCAGACCAAAGTTTTTTCGTGAGACCCGTAAGACCAATTCTCAACCCTTGGATTAGATTTACAATCTCACCATTCTTAATTACAAAATTGCCACGAGAATTCTCAATAATTACAAAATTGTCACCGTGTAACTTTAGACCGTTAGATCATTAGTTTATAAAGTTGATCAATTAACATAAATTGGTCTCATGGGTCTCACAAAAAACCCTTATATATATAAGTTTTCAAATTACAATGATAGTAATGTTTTGTTTGTTAGCAGATTACAAGCTTAATAATATCTACGGCTTATTCGATCAACTATACATGATTGTTTAATTGGCTTATCTATTAAGCTTCTAAAGAGGAACTTTACATAAAAACCCGAGTTTTTTTTTTCTTCCAAATTTGCTCATTGCAATTAAAAAAACATCCTCATACCATCTATAAGGAAAACTCTCACACAAAAACACTTTTTGTCGATACATACAGATTAATTCATATAGTCAGCTTCATTCGTACAATGACTTAATGAAAAACCAACCAAGCAAACCCTAGGAGTATCTTAATTGAAACAACAAAACAATCGAAAATCCTTTCACCCTCTCAAAAACAACAAAACCATAAAATAAAATCAAGATGGACAAATAACAGAACAAGAAATGAATTAGGATTTAGGGTTCGAGTTTTCGACGTCATTATCAAAATGGATTATTACGTGAGTAGAGTTTTACTATTTGTGTAATAAATCAAATTCAAAAATATAAATGTATTAATAATCATTTAGTCAATTCTAAGTCCAACCCCTCTTTTGAAAATACTTAGAGAAATATGACAAAATTGAGTTTGTTTAGAACAATTAAATTTTTTGATTTATGCGGATACAAATTCAATAAATATCATTACAAATACGTGAAAACCAATTTAAATCATTAAATGAGTTTGATTTTAAGTTATCATTCACATTGTCTTATATGTCACGTTCTTGTGTGTGTGTGTGCGTGTTTCATATATAAACGTATTTTCATGTTTTTGCAACACTTATTGGATTTATATTTGATTTGCCCTCTATACGATAATTTGTGGATATAAAATTAAGTTTATGAAACATTATTGCTCGATTGTCCAAGTAAAAAGAGGGTGAAGTTTCCACAACAAAGTTTGGGATTTAAATCAGACTTCATCCACCTTGCCATAAAACACCATGATGTACCTCTCCCATGATGGTCGTGGAACCGATAAGATTTGATCAGTAAGAAGGATAACCACGACCCTTTTTGCACAGTTAAGTTTATGAGTTTTTCATAGTAACAGTTTTTAGAAAGAAAAAAAATCTATTATTTATAATTATAAATAACCATTACATATAATATGAATAAAAAAATATATATGGTCTACCTTATATATCCTAATTAATTAATATTTTTTTTAAATATATTTAATAATTAATTAGTATTATTTATAA